GGATCATCCTCCGGGATGTTTCCCAGACCGTCGCCAATAGCCCATTGTGCAGCTCTAGTGCGACGTAAATTAACAACAACAACAACAACATCCAGAATTTTATCAGGGATGGAATTCGATGACCCGATATCAATAGTTGCCGTACTTGCGAAAGATCGTGAGAACTGTATTAAGTTCACTGGATTTTGAGCGCTTGTGGTGAGAGCTGTATGAAGTTCACCGAGTTTTGAATGCTCGTCGTGAGAGATGTATTGAGTTCACGGTTGTGTGTGTGTGGTGTCTCTTGTGTTGCTATTAGCAGTCGAGTCAATGTAGGATCTCGTTGCAGTGTAAATGAGACTGATAAGCAACAGAGCGAGAAGGATATAATGTCACAAATAGCAAGACAAATGTGGATCATCCATCGAAGTGGCTCTTACTTTCGAGTATCACGTCACCAATGTGGCGAGACGGTTAGCGACAATGTCAACCTTCATCTATCAAAATGTACCCCCAAAATTGAATTGGTTTTGGCAAGTCTTATATACTAGTGAATTGATGTTTAGTAATCGTAATGGTTGTTACGCCTCAAGGTAATAAAGACAAGTATTAAAATTAAAATAAAAAACATTCTAACACACTTATTACCTTTTGTTTTATTTTATAACCGTCGTTGAACAGCTGACCCAATCTTGGGTTTACAACTACTCATGTTCAACAACGTAGCCTTGTAATTTTGAACCCAATTCAGAAGACAAGGAAACTCCTGGATCAGTACCACCAGAGGTATGATTTGCTGGAGGGAACATGGAGGACTTTGTGACTCTACAGATGTAACATGCACCAGTCACCATTAACTACACGGGGGGAGTCTTCAACCTGTGGGGATCGAACCCAGAACCTCTTTAAAAATATACTAATTTAAATGATAATTCACAAAATAAACTTTGTTTCGCTACTCTATTTTTTTAAATAACACAACCATGTCGCCTGTTTTAACAATGCAACTCTAAATGACAAAAACAAATTTTCACTTTAAACTCATCAGAATTACTCAATATTGTTTATATCTTATGAGATGTAGAAAATTTGAGACTGAAAACTATATTATTTATTTATTTTTATTGAAAAAAAAGTAATCCGTTTGAAAATATCGCCTCACACAATAAGCTGTCGTAAGCAGCTGTAAACTGTCTAACCGGAAGTCGTGAATCTCGGATTTTGTTTTTGTTTAATGTATTGAAAACACCATCTATACGCAGCACGATAAATCTGTCATGGCTGAAAGTTCTTTCGTCGGTTGTGGAAGTTAGGAGATAGGAGTAACCAGCTCAGGTGATTTTCACGTCGTCTTACCGTGATCAAATTTCGTGGCTTACGTATGGATAGAGCCCTGAGAATTGGATATGTTGCTTCACCATGGTTGGATAATATAAGTCCATCAAAAGAGTTTCCAAATAAAATAAAAAATCTTAAGAATAATTTAATTTTAACCAAACTTTTGAAAATACTTTAAATCAAAACTTTAAAAATAAGAGTTCAGTAAAGTTATTTTTAATCTCTCTTAAATGAGAACGATAAAATGAAAGTACATCAAGGATGAGTGTTGCGCCATCTTGCGAGAGGCAGGTGATGCAATCGTTATCGTTCTAAATCTAAAGTGATCACAAAATACACGTAATGAAAATTTTGAAATATGTTATTGATAAGAAAGGAAAACCTGGCAACCGTCAGAGGGCATATCTGTCATTCTCTCCCCCCTTGCGAAATTTCCAGAGAGTATATTTCAATGAGTTGTAGTAGTCACTACCAAATACAGGCTACGATATCGGGTGCAGTTGAAAAACGTGAAAGAAAATAGTACGATGTGGAAACAATTACCCATGAAGATAAAAATAAATAAATAAGAGTAACAACTTATTTTAGATATTAGTTTATTTTTAAAAAAATACTCCCTTGACTAATCATTGTTTTGCTTTCGAATTTTTCCTCAAAAAAAGAAAACTCCATAAAATTACGTTTTTTTCCCCTTAGTTCTACTTCCCTTTTCCTTAATGAACTGAAGCAAAACTTAATTATATAAATTAAAAATGATTTTAAACGCGAGTACGCAGATTGGTATATGCCAAAATTAACTCTCACCGCCTCAGGGCGATTAAGTAATAATAATTTATTCGTGAATCGCTACTTGAACTTCAATTTTTTTCCCCGAAAATGCAGACTCTATGCTCAAAAACGCGCAAATTCTCATTATGTTCACTACACCCGGTAACGCAGTTACCATCCCCAAGACGTTCTGGTTATTTTAAGCTACTTTTAAATTTCAGAGAGACTGTTTGTTTATCAAAAGTGTATTTCAAGTTAATTACATAGTACTTTTTCTTTAAATCTATGACCGATAATATTTCGAAGTTATTATCATTATGATTACAATTATTTCAGATTTATTTTGCCTCCAAAAATGTTACGTTTCTTAATAAATATAAATTTTATGTAATTTATTGGTCCAAAAACTCAATCACTAAGTTTCATTTGTGAAAAATGTCATATAAAATACCTAAATTTTACATTAAACTTGTGTTCAGAGGTCGGGAAAATTTTTTATCTTAGAAATGAGCGCAGTATTGCTCATGACATTTTGTGAAATGCTTCACAAGTAATGCTTGACTTAATATCTATAATGTTTTAAATAATTCAGAATTTTTAATTTTTGAATAAAAAATGGCCTCATGTTTTGTAAAGTGACCACTCAGAAAAATGCTAAAGTTTTCGAATAATAATGAATTTCAGTATATACGAGCCCGAGATAACACGGCCTCATCATAGGAACACTATGGATCACGATCAAAACTTAGGTAGTAAAAGTTTTTCTAAATGGGTCGCCAAAAACGTGAACAAAAATTGTAATTAAAGAAAAGCTAATAAATAAACAAGTGTTTCTAAGCAAAGATTTACATTGGAAGGCTCAGGGGATACTGTACTGCATCAAATTCAATGCATGCCAAAAATATCCAGATCATGGGTCTCCGTACCATCGAAGAAACTGTGGAAGATTCCAGCTGTTTTCTGCTCAGTGTAACGCAGATGTAAGTTAGTTACATTTAAATAGTTCCCCAAAGAAAGTGAGTTTGTCCCCTTTTTTTCAAGGGTGCCTTGAGCGTTGCGTTCAAAATTACACAGTAGAGGAAAATAATATAGTTGCCAATCTTCTATGTTTAGGCTATTCAGTGATGAAATAAAATAAAATGTATATGGTTGACTAAATGTAAACAATAACAAGCTTCTTAAAACTGGAAAAAAATTAGAAAACTTCCGGTGTATTCTTCCGCTTATGTTATTTTATTATTTATTATAAAGCCAATTAATCAAAGGCCATCATCTGAATCAAAAAATGATTTTGTACAGAGCACATAAAAAATATTAAATAATTTTAAAAGTTCCTGTTTTTCTTTTTTAATCTATTTATTTTTATTGCATGCAATTATTTTTGGAAAAACGATTCTTATAATTGTAGTTAGTTGCATATGTGTTCCAATTTGCACAACCTATTAAAAAATGTTGATTCAAAGCAAATCAATATGTATTTCATTTGTGTGGGGCAATTTCAATTTTGGAAGATATAGATATTATCAGATATCTTTATAATATCTCAAAGTTACACTCCTATAGGGAAATATTGATAAAACTGATAAAAAAAATATCCATTAATTAGAAGACACTAAACATCAGTCATAGTTTAAGAAACTTTTTGCAATAAGTTACGATTTTCAGTTACGATTAGTGGCGAAATGGGTTCTAAAACGGCACTTGTAAGAAGGGTTAAGCAATAAAGTGGCTCAGTTTATGATTTTTTCTGAATCATCTCTAATAGAAGTTCATAAATCTAAAACTGGCAACTAGGCAAATTTGCCTCTACTTACATACATGATTGTTTTTATTATTATTATTTTTTTTATGTATATAAAATGAATTTTTTAAAAAATGCAGTTTTTTAGACGAAGTTTTAGATTTGCATAATTTAAAGACAGTTTTAAAAAAGTATTGAATAATTCCTATGAAATCATATTAAGGTTATTTTTCTAATATTGCGTCAAAACATTTTATTAAAAGAGAAAGTTGAGCTGATACTAGACAATGTGTGTAGTAAAAAGGATTTGTTGAAATATCTAAAACTCAAAAATGCGAGCTCCGTAAAGACGAAGACTCGGTAGGCCGCTCCAAATATTTTTAACTTTCAAGTTATAAACAATCTATTGACTGAGAACTTTTTTAATAATCCAGTTCATAGACTTGATTTTAACTCATTGATCTTTATGGGGTAAAAGTTTTGTTTTTAAATATTTTAAGTAATAAAAAAATATAATAGTATTTATTAAAAAAATAATTAACTGAATTTATGAGAAAATGTAATTTAATTTCTTTTTTCCTTTGTAAATACTAACATTCGATATTGTCAGTTTGCAACGTACATTGATGTGTGTCTGACTACAGGAAAAGCAACATACGTATAAAATTATTTACTTTTAGCCAGTCACAACATATATTATCAATATATTGATAATATTTCTCAGAATGATACCAAACAATATATTGACATTTGAACTTGAAATTTAGGAAAATAAAAAAAGAGCAAAAATAGGGGCGCAAAATTTTAAATGATCATATGCGCACCCCATTCCGGTTTTGTCCCCACTTGGTGATCCCCACTTGATACCGATTTGAACCCAACCAGTCAACACCAGTGATTAAATAAAAGATACAAAATGGGTCAAATGTGTAATTAAATCGTTTGTGTTTATTTTTCATCCATAAATAGTTTTTGATCCCAAATCAGACTAAACCTTATCTTGGCGGGACTTAGACCTTCACTGCCTCTCGCTGGATGCGATTGACAAGTCCCGTGACAAGCAAATGAAAAAAAGGAGGATCTGATACTGTTTGTTTACTTACTTTTTTTTATCTGACTCGCAATCAGATAAAAAACTGTAAGTGTAATGTTGGTGAGAAATTATATCCTTCTGAAGGATGCCCAACCGTGAGAGAACTTTTGGAATCCCCGCCCCCAAAAGAATCATAAATTTAAAAATCGTTTGTCCACGTGAAGCCGGCGTGCTTAGGTCTTTGTGGTCAAGCGTAATCAGTGCTGCCTGCGAGAATAAATATCGGGGGAGAATGACGTTCGGAATAGAGCGTACTTACAAACGAGTTTGCTTACGAAACGATCATTTGGTTCAACGTGGTACATCCGAAAAGATGGCGTCTACTATGCAAGCGATCCCAGTTCACAATAGCGCTAATCTTCACGATTTTCCATGGAATTGTCGTTATCCAAGGAATAGTGATTGGTTCTTTGGTAAGTAAAATAATTTCCCTTGTTTTTAACATTTTTATAGAGATTCTATACATTAATTGCGTTAAAAACTAAGAATAACCGTAAGTTTTTGCCTCGATTTCGTGAGTATACGACAGAGATTTTTTTTCATTTATTTTTCTTACAGTTTTACTGCTTTGAACGTTTTATTTAATAACTTTTCCAACTGTTACCTGTTATTTCAGGTAGAAGTTAAAGTTATGATTCCTTGTATTGTCTATTTAACTAAATTGACTTTAACGATCATTTTTAAGCTTATAGCTCACAAAAACGGATAAATATAAGTATTTAATAATCGAATGATTTTAAAACTTAAAGTAAGACAAAAGAGAGCAAAAATTAAAGTGAAGAGCGTTTCAAAAAAATAAATTAAAAAATATTTATTGTCTCAGTCATTGAATAAAAACTTAACTCCTACTATCATAACTAAAAATCTAGAACGTCAACAACCGGACGTATAACTACACTTTTTTTATTTGTGCATGCTTTTGTATAATTTTAATTGCGTCGAAGAAATAAATCGAGTTTTTATTAAATTTACTTTATAAAATATATGATTGTAAACACTTTAACGAAATTAGTTTCTTCCCGTAAATCCTTCATTTCCCTTTTATCAAACTGCGAAAAAAATATTACAACTTCCTTAAAACTTCTCTCTACAAAATATCCCATGGATACAGGAAACTCCTTCATTACAAATCCCTACGAAAATGGAATTGTTGATTTTAAAAAAGGTAGTAAATGGAACAATTGTTGTTTTCAAATCGATATTTGCTGCACTAAATATTTGAAGTCAAAGTAATGCAGTAATTCTTGTAAAAAAAATCACCTAATTCTTCTATAAACACATCATTCATCAAACTATTTTAATATATTTTAAATTTAGTCTTATTTTACTCATGGTGCTATTTTATGCATATATTTTTTATGGTAAGGAATAATCTGAAACTATAATTTGAACCAAAACCTTATATGAATACTAATTATAAATTTCACATTGCATATAAAATTAGTATGATAAGAATTCTGAAATTTAATGGTATTTGCAGTGCCAAAAGTAAATGTGTTTCACCTTGAAATCTTTAAACTGAAATTTCAAATTATAAATGGACATTCATTTTATGAGAAATTTAAGTCTGTTATTTTTGGTGAAGAAAATGAATTTTTTTTTGGTTGTTCCTTTTCCCAAAAACAGTCTTATTTTCACTTATTTATAAAATTATGAAAAGATTTTTCACAATTCCTTTCATTAAAAAGTTAGAACCGACCCCTGACATTTTAGTTGAAAATATTTAGTTTTTCTATTTGTCTGTAAATTGTACTAAAACACTTATATTTCACAATGAAATAGTTGTAGTTTAATCAAATATCTAAATCGCCAAATTCTGGCAATAAATGACAGAGGTGTGCAGGATACTAAAATAGTCGTCAACTCAGATATAACTTATAGCCAACCCAGGAGGCATCACTTTATATAAATACTTAAAAATATATATATATTTCTCGTAATGAAAACTTTTTGGTGCTATAGTGATTCAAGTTGGAGTGAAAGTACTGGTATGGAAATACAAATGTAAATCAGTGTTCTCCCTAAGCGTTTTCAGTAGGTCGACTTCTCCTTTGATCCCAAAAAATTTGCCATTTTTATGTAAACAAATTGTCATCCCCTTAAAAACAGGGCCTTTTATTCATATTCCAATTTGAAAAAGATTAATTCACTGTTTAAAAAATAATTACTTACACCTAGGTAAAATTATCTGTGTTTATAAGGTTTAATTCTGATTGCTAATTGCAAATATTTACTTTGGTAAGACTATTCTCCACTGATTAAATATTTACAGGCATCTCTTTTTTTGGGTGGGTGGGGAGGATATTAATAGATTTTGATTTTTAAAAAAATGCATTTGTAAATAATTATGATGTAATAAAATGTTCATTTTCTCATCATTTTTAGTTTTAAATTATAGAAAGAAGCTTTCAAGTTTTATAAACTACAAATTTTTCTTTTTGATAATGAGAGAGAATTTTAAATATACAAATGAAATAGAATGAGAGGGTAATTTAAAAATTGTTGGGGATTAAATTCAGTTCTTAGGATGTAGTATTATATATTTACAGGGTTGCCATCCATAGGGAAAACCTAGAAAAAACAGGAAATTTAAAAATCACCTAAAATAACAGGGAATTTTGTTTCATTTTAAAAAATGGCGAACACTCAAAGCGCAATCTATGAGATATTTAAAGATGATATTTCAGCTATACTAAACACTAAACTATTTCATTTACTATAGCATTATTTTAGTATGTTCAGCTGTTCCTTTTTTTTCTTGTAAGTTTTTCCAGCAATCATAACTAATAAATATAGTTAGCCCAATATAGCTCACAAGAGCACAGTAATTGTGTTTCCTTTTAATATATTGTGTATAATATGTACAGGGAATTGTTAAGTGAGATGTGAACTTTCAAAACTCAAAGTGCCTTTTTCTGAGAGGAAGCGCCCTTTCACTTTTTTAATCCTAAGGAGAACTCTGTATAAATATTGGTTCTTTTTTATTTAACTAGGTACTAAGCAAAAATATTAATGGTTTCTTTAAAAAGTACTGAGAAAAATTATGTTTTATTATGCGTTTGAACAGATTTTAATTCTGTGAAATAAATGGGTTTTAAGTGTACCAGGTGCAAATAAACAAATGGTTGATACATTGATGACAAAGCTTGGCAATCCAGCTATGAGGCAAGTGAGAAGTAATTTTTAATAACGAATCGCTGTTCAATTTCAGATTTTCAATCTTGCATTTTGTGTCAATAATTATTCTAAAATTGCACTTATTATTTCAGGTAATCTGAAATGGTACACAAAGGAAACAGATTCCTCCCTTCCTCGACCAGTGGTCATCTGCGGACCTTCTGGCAGTGGAAAGTCTACTCTTTTGGGAATGTTGATGGCTGAATACAAAGACTGCATTGAATTTAGCATTTCACGTGAGTGACTTGCTTGCACGTAATTGCAAGAGAAATGTATGTTTGTTATCCTGCATTCTAATGATAAGAGACATCAAAATTTAATAATCAATGATCATACTAAAATGAATCCTCATATCGTTGTTTTTTGTTATTACTAATTCTTCAATATGTGTGGTGTAAATAACCAATAAATAATAACTTAATCACAAATAAATAATTTCGAAAGTTAAGTCATTATTTTTTAATGTGTGGTATAAATTTTGCACATTTATGAAAGATAGCTTAAATCTAAATTATCATTTTATCACGTGATTCATTTAACCATGAATAATCAGTAGCATTAATTATCTAACTAATTTACAAATTCAGAAAGAGACAAAATAAGTTAGTAAAATTTGAAATAATAAATCAAAATAGATAATGACTAAAATGAAACATTTATCAATTAATAAATTATATTACTAAGTAAATAACTAGAATAGATAATGTTTGCTTTGTATAAACTGCAATAGTACAGCATTTTCAGTAATAGCTTAACTGTAAATAAATAATATCTTAAAAGATACTGTAGCAATTTAAGTCATATAAATAATTAAATAAGAAATAAATCATACAATATTAGCTGACCATAAAGATAATCTTCCATTATTTGAGAATGCTATAAAATTTAATTTAATCAATCTGCTTTACTAATAAATATTCTTTTTAATTTATGAGTTTTGAAAACTATTGGTTTATAATAGATGAATAATCTAATTTATCTTTTACAGATACTACAAGATCACCAAGACCTGGAGAGAAGCATGGTCAACGTGAGTTTATTATTTTTTAATTTTATTACTTTTGAGTTTATTAATTTTAATTTATTAATTTTAAATTTGGATACTTCTCTAATTAATTGTTGTAAAGTTACATATAGTGTCAATTATACCGGTTTCTATGGTCAGTTTTTCTATCTAAGTCATCTTCTCTATCTAAATGTTTATTTTAATAGTTTCATTTTCTTATTGTAATTAAATCTTATTTCATTAAATTTTTGTTTCTAATTTTCAATTATCCCAAAATCCTGAGCATCACGTCTCCTCGTAAAATTGGTTTGTCAATCTTTTTCTTGGCAGTTATTCTTATATTGCCTCAAATTTCACAGTATTTAAAATATCCCCTTTTTTTTTAAATGCAAAAAAAAAAAAAGAATTATTGCCCATATTAGAATATTCTTACACATGAGCACTTAAAAAAACATTCCGTTATATGTTGGCACCAATTTCGCTTATGTGCTACAAAATCGTAAAAAATTGGAAGGTACAATTCACTACTAAAAAAAAAAAATAAATAAATAATTCTATAGAAAAAGAAATGAAAGAAAAAATTTATAATTTTGAGCCGAATTGATTTAGAAATTTAGTTTTAATTTTTGAATTACTACTGAATCAATTTTTTTTCCTAATTTGTAAATATTCATTGTTTATGGTAGAGATTTGTATTTTAAATAATGACATTTTTTTTTTACTATTTAATGTAAGTTATTTAGATTTTTAAATTAAATGTTATCTCATTGCTTAATGTTCATATTAAACACCTATTGCAATGTTGCTGATAAATATTTTTTTTCTTCACAGATTATTATTTTGTTGATAAATCCGAAATTGAAGATGCCATAGCCAGAGGTGGTTTTCTGGAATATACAGAATTTTCGGGCAATTATTATGGAACTTCGTAAGTTACATTTGAAATTTGCCTATATGTATATGTGTGTGTATATAAAAGTTCAAAATGTGGAGAAAACATAGAAAAATTACAGAATAATGAAGAAAAAAAATTATTTTAAAAATCCTCCATCAGCTCACACAATTATATCAGCAAAAAAGGAGTGCTTTCTAATATTGTATCAATATAGCCAAAGCAAAATATATCAATACAATAGTGTGAGGAGCACTCAAAATAGTTTTTTAAGCCAAAATAGAATGGAACACTTTAAGTAATAAATTTAACGTGAAAAAAAAAACAAAATAAAATGTAAAGAAAACACAGAACAAAACATAAAACTAAATGTATGAAGCTAGTAGCGAATTCAAATGAACTTACATGGAATGGAAATTTTCAAGAATGATTTAAAATATTTTCGTAATAAGATTGCCAGATTACAAAATATGAAGACAGAAGAGCAAATTTAGGTTATATATATATATAATTTTTTAAATAACTAATACCTTGATTTAAATTTCATACATTTCATTTTATTGAATATTATGTGCAGTAATTTAAATACACACTTATGATGATTTTTTTTTCTTTTCATATTTATATCTATTTTAATAAACTCGAGAAATTCTAGGGCAATTAATGATGTAACCTAATATGGGAAATGTAGTTCATTGTTTAATTTTAGATTGAAAAAGTTTTAATTTGCTATGAAAATAGTACATTGGATTAATTGTTTCATTTTATTGAGTGTTTAATAATTACCAGTTAACTTACTTGCACACTCCTATACTTTTGACTATGTATAGATAATGTTGCTAACAACAATTCAGAATGTCAAAAGACATTTAATGATTTTCTAATTGTTTTCAAATTATTAATAAATGAATGTTTATGTAATGATTTGCTATAAATAAATTTCAACTTTTTTAGAAAAAGTGAGATCAACAGAATTCAGAATAAAGGGAAGTTGTGCTTTTTGGATCTTGAAATTAATGGTGTAAAAAACATAAGGAAGACCAGCCTGAAACCCAGATTCATTTTCATCAAGCCTCCTAGCCTTGAAGTCCTCGTAAGTTTAAACTTATTTTGCATTCATAATAATAATTTTTAAAAAATTTCATATAAAATCACCCAAAATAACAGGGGAAATACCGGTAATTTTGTTTCTTATTTTTGTCTTTTAAAAAAAAGTGATTACTCAAAGCTTGATATTTCAGCTATACTAAACTATTTCATTTAGTTGAATACTTTTGAGAATCTATTCATTGTTACTTCAAGCGTTATTCAAATTTAACCGGAAAATGTTAAAAGCACAATTTTTATAATACCTTTTTCTTTCTTCATAATTTTAAAGACAGATTTTCTTAAGTTTAAACAAATTTTGACTTCAAATAATTTCATTGTGTGAGAGTTAAAAAAAATTTTTTTTTTAAAATTCACTTTCTCCTTAATTGAATTTTCAAAGATCGAAATCGTCTAATGATTTTTTATTGTTTTGCTATCTTTGGTTTCAAAATGGTAGTAACTATCTTGTTTATGTTCTTTAAAATTAGTATTAAAATTTAGGGATTAAAACTCTAAAATCTTTTTTAGAATGTAAATAAAAAACTGAATTTCTAACATACTAAATGTTCATACACTTGTTAATGTAAAGAATTTGTGAAGGATTAATTAGCAATTTGTGATGGGTTCAAAGAAAACTAGAAAAAAAAATATTTAAATGCTTAGTTTTTGCTATGCTTAGTTTTTTAATGTGTTCTTTTTCATTTTTATGTCACTTTGAAATAAAGTTATTAATTTTAAATGCCCATTGAAAATGTTAATGAATGATCTGAAAAGCCTCTATATTAAATATAGACCCACATTTAGTTACAAGTTCTAGGAACCTGTAATTTCCAATCACTGGTGTTATTTAAAATGATTGTTTTATTTTAGGAAGAGAGATTAAGAGGTAGAAATACAGAAACTGAGGAAAGTCTCAGAAAGCGATTAAACAGAGCTAAAGAAGAGCTTGTTTATGGTAAGTGTACTATCATCAAAGATGAAATTCAAAATGTTATGTTTAAAAATATCTACGAAATAAACTTGCATTGATTATTTTACAAAAATAGTAATAACAACAAGATTAGTATGAGAACAGGGGTCTGTCCTGGGAAAATCTACTACCGTTTAGCGGCACTTTCTTAAATTCAACTTAAGATAAAACGGTAGTTTCACAAAATACTTTTCAGAAAGCAAGATGTAAGATTCTCTGCCTCTTAAAATTTTGTTTTTGTATCCCCATAAAAAACTATAAATTCGAGAGTTTTTTAAAATGAAACAACAAGGTTCTCTCTTTATTAACTCTACAGGAAGTCAAAATTCGAACATTGTCTTTAATATTACTGTAAATTTATTCTAAAAATCTTTATTTTTTTTATGAACATTTTTTTCCCTTTGAAACTTTTTCCTGTATGACCTAGTCGAAAATGCTCTCATAATGAAAATAACTTTTAGTTCTAGTACTGTTAAATGCAAGTTGAAATTTAACTATGGACAATTTTTAAATTTGGATGCAATTTTAAGCTCGAAATTTTACAATAGCAAAATTATTCTTTGATGTATGGGGAAAAATATATAAAAATTTACCAGTCATGAATGATTTTTATTTGTAGTGACAATATTTGAATTTCTTATTTTACCATATTTTGGTGTTGATTTTTAATGTAACTTTTAATTATTATGTCTACATTTTCACAAAATAGGTACCTCTAAAAAAAATTAGACCCCTGGGGAAAATCTTTTTTAATTATTTTAACAAAAATATTTTTACTATTATAAATTGTTAGTATTTTAACCTTTTTGGTTTGTATTCATATTCCTGATGCTCTTAAAGAAATTTTCTCCTTTATTTCTAAATTTGTGAACAGTAGTCTCTTTTTTTTTTTCACTTGTTTTCCATCTGTCAATTACTTGTTTTTTAAAAGAAAAAAATTGACTTTTTTAACTAGCAAATGAATTTTTAATTTTGATGTTGATTATTTGAAATTGAATGTTTTTTATTTATTTTCAGGAGAGGCACCTGGAAATTTTGATTTTGTGATAGTCAATGATGATGCTGAAAAAGCTTGTGAAGAGCTGAAAAATTATTTGCGTTCAGTAAGTATAGCATACTTGCCATCTCTCCTGTTTTTTAACAAAAAATCCTGTATTTTACGACCTGTTTACCCGTATATTCTCAAATTTCTCCGTGTTTGTTGAAGAAATTTTAAATAAAAAAATTTGGTGATAAAATATCCACTGATGGCAAAAATACTTCTCCTATTCCTCAACAGATAGTGCTATTGCCAGTACTGCAGTATGTTGAGAGTTAATAGTTTAAGTCGAGCTGTGATGGCTCGGGGGATAGAGTATTCTCCTTCCAATGAGGTAAACCGGGTTCGAATCCCAGCGATGGCTGGTCAATACAAATTCCGTTTTCCTCTTCATGTAACTCAAATGTGGGATAGTTCCATCAAAAAAGTTCTCTACAGAGGCAAATTTCTCCCACTATTTGATCCAGGAGTTCCCTTGTCTTCTGAATTGGGTTGTTGAACATTAGTTGTCGTAAATTCGAAATTGAGTCGGCTGTTCTACAACAGTTATGAATGTCAAACAGTGGTTTCTCAAATACAAAATTTACGCGTCGTAAAAATTCTAAATGTAAAAAACTGGAAATAACCAAAAAAAATTTTTAGAAATAGATAAATAACTGCCAAAAGCAATGGTAATCAAATGATTTACAGTGAAATTGTCATAAATCAAAGAGTAAAAACTTAATTTGAAATTCGGGTATCTTAAGAACATTGTATTAAATATATCTGATTTTAAAAAAGTTTGTGGTAATGGCCAAAAAGCAATATAAAACTAAAAAAAAAAAGCAATCAGAAAATTATGTGGATTTGAGAGAAAATTAGCTTGAATTGAATTGTTCTTTTAAATAAAGTGTAATCTGTATCAAAAAGTATGTGGAGTGGAAATTTTTTATCCAAAGAGCAAATGAGGCAACATTTCCTTCACACACAGTTCAAATTAATCCTACATTGATTTATAAAGTTTTATTTAAATTAGGAGTTTTATTTATTTTTTAATATTGACATATTTCTTTCATCCCGTTATTTAATTTGCGTATTTCTTATATAAAAATGACTTATAACGATTTTACATTTTTTATTTCTGCGGGAAACTCATCAAGTAAATTTTTTTTGCTTACATAATTATTTAAGTCATTTTTTGTTGCATTTTTTCACACCCTTTTTATTTAATAATTCGTTCTATTAAATGTAAACTTATATGCTCAAACATTTTTTTTATTTTCAAAGCACTGTGCTGTTCCAAATATAAAAAATATTTGCTTCAATCTGCTCCAAAAACCAAATTTATTTACTCCAAAATAAATTTTTTTCTGATCCAAAATGCTACCGTACCATCTCTGAAAGTATGTCGTTGAATCAAGCAGCATTTGCGTGTTTCATAAAATTTTTTAAAAAATGAAAAATTGTTAGGTATTTAAATTGCATGTGGAAATAATTTACTTTCTCATACAAAAGAGGCTTGCCTTCTTAAATTTTAATTCAATGAATAGATTTATTATTTAAGTATATATTTTTCTTTCTGCAATATCATACTGATTTTGTTTTTCAATTTGTTTTCAGGATCTTGAAATGCTGAAGAATCAGAATCAGTAGCTGCATCCAGCATGTTTTTGTATATAGCTGTTAGCATCACCTGTAAATCTCAAAACTACATTGTATCACACTCACGCAGGGCAAATTAGCTTTTAGAGGAATTGTGTTCTCTTTTCATCCTTTATTTATTGTCTTCATTAATTTATTGTTAATTTACCCTCATCTAGTATTTTTCATGATTTGTACTGTGCATTTTACCCCCTTTTCTTTCCCCCCCTTTACTGCTGTGATGACCATTTGGGAGTAACCAACATTTCTTTGATCATTAAAGATAAATGACATTTTCATTGTTATTCAGTAGCTGTATTTGTTATTATGTGCTGGCTCACATGCCTTTTTTTTATTTGCTAAGATAGTTTTTTTTTAAAACCATTTTTGTACTATTTGTTTTTTTTTAATTGATTAATTAACTCAATCATTTAATGACACCCAGTTTTTGTGTATATCAAGAAAAGCTTTAATTTTTTTTTTATAAACATTTTGAAATAAAAATATTAAGTGGATGCATCCTCTTTTGGTTAGGAAATAAAGGGATGCTATTTCAATTATTATTTTGTAAGTTTCAAGTTAAGCAAATTATTTAAATTAGAATTTAATTTATCTTAGATACAGAGATAAAACAATCCTTAAATATGCATTTTCTTTTGTATCTAAGAGTTTCATTTAAAAACTGAAAGATCCAGACTTTTCTGTTTATCAGTTTTTTTTCTAAGTTTAAAATAATAATTTTAACAATAAGAAGTGTATAGTAAAAATATTTTTTTAAAAATTACATTACAATTTTGGAATAAAAAATTCTACCGTATTAATTAATGTTTTAAATCTGTTTTAAATCTTTTTCAAGTTAAATAATATCCTGAATAATCTAGTTCAATAATACCCTTTCAAAATTTATTGATAATCTGAGATAGATTTATTTTAAACCTTTAAATTATCTTATTTCATTTTCCTAGAAAAAGATCTTAACAGTTTAAATGATGCATTTTTAGTTGTCTAATGTTTCAATTTAAATTAATTTGGTTTATTAATATTTAGTTATTATTTTTATCAGTGTTTCTCACTGATGAGACATCAACATAAAACACTTGCGTATGATGTACGCATATTTGTTTGAACTTTTCTTAGATATAAATATTTCATAATATTTTTTTTTTTAATGCAGACAGAGAGCATTTTGTATTGTCAAGTAGAGATGTGTTAAAGAATACATTCTTGAACTCTCTATTTTTTGTTTTGTAAGTGTTACTACTTTTAACAAATAAAAAGAAAAAAAAATGACATGCTGTGATGGTATTATTATTGTAACATTGTTGAATGGATTACAGTTTTGCAAGAGCAGAATAACCAGAACTGCAATTATAGTGTAATTGTATACTCATTCGTTAAATAAAGTTACAATTTAAAAACTTAGTTATGTTTTTTTCTTGATTTTTAATCATCATTAAATAGAGTTGCCCCACCCCAGACAAAACCTGGAAAATACAGGGAGTTTAAAAATCACCTAAAATAACAGGGAATTTTGATTTTTTCTTTACAAATTAGGAAAATACAGGAAATTTTGTTTCTTAATTTCATCTTTTAAAATTTGTGACCACTCAAGCTATGAGATATTTAAGGATGATATTTCAGCTGTACTAAACTATATCATTAACTTATAGCGATATTTAAGCAGGGTTTGTTGATTTAAATCAAATGATTTTTTTTAAAAATATCATTGATTTAAATCAACTGATTTTTTAATATATATATATTGATTTAAAAAGTTAAAAAACAGTGTTTTAAATTATTGATACTTTTATTATTTATTTTCTTAGTTTTAAAATTTATCATTGCTGCATTAATTAATTTTAGCTAATGAAATTGCTTTCTTTCTTGGCAAGTGTTGAATTTCAACACATTTGAAATTACATTTTTAAAAATCTTTTGATTCTTGAGATTGAAAGTACAGATTAAAGTAAACATTTAAGTATTTTTTTCTCATAATATGTTTATAGTATCAGATTTCCTATAAAGAAATTTTGTGAAAAAAAATTTCAATGAGTATATAGATTTAAAAAAAAAATTTTTTTTTTTAGCTTAACTTATCTATTTTGATATAGGATTAAAAATGAATAATTTGATATAAAAATATATAGATTAAATATTGATTTATTTTTTGATGAATGACTACATTTATAAACACAATCTGTTACATTTATTTTGTCATTTTAAAAATCAAGAAGGAAAAAAAAGAAATCACAATTTTAAATTAAAATTATGGTTTGGTAATTCAAACTTTGTTTTAATAGTTAAAGAATTCTTTAAATTCTCTATTTCATTTAGTCTTTAAATTTCAATCATGCATTTGTTTCAAAATGGTTGCTATGTATTATAAAGAAAAATTGTTTTAGGTAGTTAGAGCTTCTAAAATATTCTTATAATATAGTTTTAATATAAATTTAATTTTCATTAAACATTATAAAGTGTTTTTAGTCATCAATCAAAGTTCTTACTGTGTATTTGAATTTAAAAAAAAATCACAAACCCTGTATTTAAGTAATATGTTCAGCTGTTCCTTTTTTTCTCTTAAGTTTTCCAATGATTAAAACTAGTATAATAATACAGTCGGACTTCTATCTAACGTACTTCTATATATTGCGATTTTTTTTTCTATGGAACCAATAACATTTTGGAAATTTCTTCGTAAAATAACTTCCTAATAACGAAGTGAATTTTCTATTTAACAAACTTTTCTTTGAGATCGACTTTTCCCATTTCCCAAAATATTTCAGAATTTTTCAAACTTTAACGCATTTTATGGGGGGAAATGAGCTTGAATTGATTTTTGCAGCAACTTAACTTTTAGAGAAAGCAGTAAAATATCTTTCCCTTTTTGTTTGCATTTCAAAGGGAAAAACTCAGACGAAGAGGATTTTCTTATTAACAATTAAGCTTAAGAACGCATGTGGTAATGTACAGTCCGCAAAAAAAAAGATATCACCCTGAATAACTTTCGTTCTAATGATCGGATTTTCACGAACTAAGTGTCAATCTTAATGGTTCCTGGGGGTGACCTCAAATATTCTAATTAATTAAGTTACGAAATCAGACACAAAAACGTACTTTCTCCGAATAAACATATATTTTTTTTACATATTTGGATTTTTAACCTTTAAAATATAGGGGGTAGCAGCAATCTAGGAAATATGGTCCCCATAGTTTGGTCAGGAGAGCGATCCAAAGTTCGTACCCCTTAATGTTCATTTCACTTTTTACGTTTTTAGTCATATTTTCAAAACTAATAAAGCAATTTAAAGAAAATTGCACCCAGTCATAAAACTCATTTACCCAAAGATAATTTCATGAAAAAAATAATTTTTAATAAT